GACCAGACAAAGCTGAGAAAGAACTGAGGCTTTTCTTCAAGGACTTTGAGCCGGTTTGATAAGATAGAGGGAAGAGCATAGGAAAGTGTTATTACAGGTGCTCTTCTGGGTTTCTATCAGTGGCTGGTGGCTGGTGTTGAAAGAAAGTTTGGAATTTACAGAAAGAAGATTACAAGACCCTAGAGAAGAGAGTTATAAATTGTTTGGAACTTAACAAAAAGTCTTGGATATTATACAGATGCAGTGTGTTTTTTATTTCCTTTTCTTTTTTGATAGAAAGCTGGTTTTTTCTTTCTCTTTGACGTAGAGCATATCCTCTACTCACCCTCTCCCTATTAGCTACTTATTCTTGGTGGATACTTGAGGTTTTGGCCTTTTGGAATTTACTTTTGTCTTTTTTTAAAAGTTTATCTTTTTTTAAAAAAAATCTTTTTTCTTCTACCTGTTTCTTTTTACTGTTATTATTTTTCTTTTCGAGGGAACCACTCTCCCCCCCCTTTTTTTTCTTCTATCCTTTTATCTCCTTTTTATATTGGATTTTTTTGTGGCTCTTTTTTTTGTATCTCTGAGACTTTTAATGAAATTTTTGGGCCTATATTATTTTGATCAATTGGGTTAAAGTGTTGAAGAACCTGAAGAATTTTATTTTTTCTTCCACTTTTGTATTGATCGACCTGACAATTTTCTTTTTTCTTTTTTTTGTTTAGTTTTTCCTCACCAATTAATTGATTGGATTATGGTGTACAAGAACCTGAAGATTTTTTTTTTATCTCGTTTTCCTTTTTCTTTCGCTATTTCTATTTGGAATTACAATTGTTCATTATATGAGTGGATTAAGGTCTAGAAGAACCTGAAGATTTTGAATTGTTTGCAATCTTATAATTTTTTGTGAAATGAACAGGAAACTAACAGTGGCTGGTTTTTCAATTCCTAATCCTTCCTCTTCACCATCTGGAGGACAACGTTCAATACAGACGATGTTACAAGAAAAAGTACAGGAAAAGATGACGCTGCAGATGATTATGTAAGGAATTCAAGACATACAAGCAAGAACAGAATCTTGAAAAGAGAACAGAGAATATTGAACAAAGAACAGGAAAAACAGATGAGAACATTCAACAAATGATGAAGTATGAGGAGAAACTCCCCAAAAATTGAAAAAGATAAACAAAGAAATAAGATTGGAGATATTGATGACAGATTAAGTGTGTTTGAACAAGATAAGAGTGGGATTCTGGGATGGGTGATCAACAGATCAGAATTTTATCTTAAATTCCAAAATATAGATGAAGAAAAGGGACAAAACTTAGCAGAAATAATGATAGAAATCTTGGCTGAGGCATTGGAAATAACCAAAGAGATGATGATGGATGGAATAGATGAGTTCTTTCAAGTTTTTACAAGATATGCAATGATAAATAAATTGCCAAGAGAAGTTCACATTAGATTTACAAAGAAAACTATTAAAATGCAAATATTACAGGTGGCAAGAGAGAAAACATTGAAATACAAAGATAAGGAGATTGTAGTTCTGAAACAAGTACCCAGAAGAGTGAGAGAGATGAGAAGAGAGTATTGATTTTTGACTAAAATACTACTCTAAAAAGAGATGAATTACAGATGTCTGATATCAGAAGGCTTAATGTTTACATGGCAGGAACAAAGACACAGAATTGATTCAGTTGAGAAAGCAGAATTATTTTATGTAGAATACTTCAGAGGGAAAGAGGAGACGACAGAAAAAGAAATGTCATTAATTGAATTCCAAGAGGACTGTCAAGCAGTGGTTGAAAAAGAAGGCGCAGTAGGCGGAAAGGTGGAAGTTAGAGTACAATGAGAACCAAGATCTACTAGGGCTTCAAAACCTACTTATAAAGTATAATCATGGAAGAGAAAAAACTGATTACAATTAATATAAATGGACTTAATTCAGCTGTTAAAAGGAAATTTTTCCAGAGAAATTAAAATTTGATATCATCTGTGTACAAGAAGTACATATTAAAAAGCAACATGAACAAATATTGACACAGCCAAAGCTAGGGAAAATTTTTACTGCGTTGACACAATGTAAGAAAAGAGGAGTGGCTTTATATATTAAAGATACTATTCCAGCAGAACTGATTTATACAGATGGTGATGGAAGAATCTTAATCGTGGAAATAATGGATAATAATATGAACACACTCCTGATAGCAATCTACACTCCAAATGAAAATCTATAAAAATTCTTTAGAAAATTACATGTGAAAATAATTGAATTGGATTATGTTAATATTTGTATGATGGGAGATTTCAATGGAATAGTAGATGATAAACTGGACAATACAACACAGAAAACAACAAAGCAAAATAGAAAGATTCTCCCTAAATCCTTTTGTAAAATGATAGATGAAATAAACTTAAAAGATGCATGGAGAGAAAGAAACACTAAAACAAAACAATACACTTTTTATTCAAACAGACACTTATCATGGTCTAGAATAGATATGATATGGAGGTCAACAGAATTGATTTCTAATATACAAGAAATTGACATACAAACAAGTACTTGGGCAGATCATAATCCAATGACAATTAAATGGAAAGGACAAAGAAGAAGATCCAGATGGACTTTAAATAATGCTATATTAAAAGAAAAAGACTTTATACAGAAAATGGAGAAAGAATTGGTTTTTTTTTCCCAAAGAAAATAAAAAAGAAAGATACATCAATGCAGAATCTATGGGACACAGTGAAGGCTTATGCCAGAGTCTTGATAATAGACTATACAAGGAAAAGAAATATTATGAAAAGACAAGCCTCTAAGGTATTAGAGGATGAGTATAAAAGACTTGAAAAAGAGTTACAGAAACAAAAAATTTTATTCATCCTGATCAAAATGGGTTTCTGCCAAAGAGACAAATTAAAGATAATATGAGAATAATTCTGGCACTTTGGAATACTATGAGGCACATCCTGAAAAACAAATGGCTTTGATATTTTTAGATGCACAGAAAGCCTTTGATAATGTGAACTGTGATTCATGTTATTATAGCTGGAGCAGATGGGCTTTGGTAAGAAATTTATTCAAGCCATAAAAGCTATATATCATAAACAAACAGCAAAGGTAATGTTAGAGGGAGAATTGACGGATTCTATTGATATAAGAAAAGGGACAAGACAAGGCTTCCCACTGTCACCTCTGTTGTTTGTGTTAACCTTGGAAGTGTTAAATAGAAATATTAGAGAAGAAAAAAGATATAAAAGGGATGAAAATTAAAAACTAAGAATTTAAACTGCAAGCATTTGCAGATGACCTGGCTTTCATTTTAGAGGATCCATTAGAAACAGCATTTAAATTGACAGAAAAGATAAGAGGCATACGGAAAAGTAGCTGGTCTGAAAATAAATAAAGATAAAACGAAGATCTTGACAAAGAATATGTTATTAAGACAAAAGGAAGAATTGGCGGATGTTTTGAAAATCCAGGTCATAAGGTTAAGAACTTGGGGATACATTTGACAGCAAGATGTAGCACACTTAAAGAGAATAACTATATTAAACTCAAACAACAGATTGCAACAGATCTGGCAAAATGGGAAAATTTACAATTATCATTAATAGGGAGAATATCAGCAATTAAGATGAATATATTACCTAGAATTTTATATCTGTTTCAAACAATTCCAATTAGGCTAGGGAAAGACTATTTTGATGATCTAAATAAAATAGTGTTGAAGTTTATATGGCAGGGAAAGAAAGTGAGAATAAAATTCAAACTGTTTGCAAGAAGCTAGAATAAGAGGAGGATTTGGCCTGCCTAATTGGGAGTTATACTATCAAGCTACAAACCTGATGTGGGTTAAGGAATGGATAACACTAAGAAATACTAGATTGCTGACATTAGAAGGACATGACTTGTTGTTGGGGTGGCATGCCTTCTTATGGTAAAAGGGAACTAAAACACAGGGGTATTTTAGAAGACATTATATATGTGAGGCTTTGTTATTAAACTGGGAGAAGACTAAAAAGCAATGTTATTTGAAAATTCCAGTCTGGTTATCGACTATTGAAGCATTTTCTTATCCTATAAGATACAAGAAGGAACAAGCAGATATGGTGAAATATTGAATGAAAAGGGTGAACTTAAATCTATGCTAAAACTAGAGGAACAAGGTATAAAGATGAATTGGTTTTCATATGCGCAAATATGCCCTAGATACGATAAAGATTCCAAAACAGGTTTTTATCATAAATTGATTGACTTAGATAAGATTTTGACAGGTACTGATGGAAAGGTGATTAAAAAGCTATATGGATACTTATTAGTGGTTAACCTAGATGAAGAGCAAGTTAAAGAAACAATGATTGCTGGGGGGGAAACATTATGGATATGGGATTGACTTAGAGAAATGGCAAAAATTGTGGTCTCAAAATTATAAAATGGCAATGTCAATAGCATATAAAGAAAACTTGTATAAGATGTTTTACAGGTGGCACTTACCCCAACAAGAATAGCAAGAATGTTCAAGAACAAATCTGAAAAATGTTGGAAATGTCATCAGATACCTGGCTCATTATTACCATATGTGGTGGATGTGTGCAGATGCTAAAAGATATTGGACTAAAATCCACAGTTGGAAAAATTGACATTTGAAATTAGAGAACAAGAAATAAACAATTCTATAAGATTTGGGATTTATTTTATCAATGGTTAGAAAATAAAATATGGTAATGAAATATGTAGAATTTTACAATATAAGGAGAATAGAACTATATAGAATATATAAAGATGTATTATTATAATTATGGGATGGATTTAGGATATGAATTGTTACAAGATAAATCCATTTAAAAATATGGAACATCTCACATAACATGAATAATAGTATAGTCAAATCATTAACAATGATAATGTATTTAGAAATATTTGACTGATATGAGAATATATACAAGTAATTGTGAGGACTATGGAGAGGATGTACAAAACAATTTGTAACCAATCGACACACTGTATGTACGCTGTGGATCCTCTTATGGGAAGTAAGGTGACTTTGAAATCTGAAGCTCTTCCCACATTCCAGCAATTATGGAACTTCTGTTAATTAGGGCATCTGTCGGAACCCTGAGCACTCTCTCCTGCATGGGTCCTTTTATGTTTAGTCAGAGACCTACTGGCAGCAAAGGTCTTTCCACACTCTGTGCACTTATAAGGTTTTTCTCCTGTATGGATACTGTTATGAGAAATAAGTTGTCTCCTTTCGCTGAAGCTCTTCCCACACTCTATACATTTATGAGGTTTCTCTCCTGTGTGGATCCTTTCATGACAAGTAAGAGAAGTCTTGTTAGTGAAGTTCTTTCCACACTCCAGGCATGTATAGGGTTTCTCTCCCGTGTGGAGCCGTTTATGGAGGATCAGGTAATTGCTGTTTTTGTAGCTCTTTCCACACTCCATGCATTTATAGGGTTTTTCTCCTGTGTGGACCCGTTTATGGCAAACAAGGGCACCACTTTGGCTGAAGCTCTTTCCACACTCTAGGCATTTAAAGGGTTTTTCTCCTGTGTGGACCCGTCTATGGAAAATAAGTTGAACGCGTTGCCTAAAGTTCTTCCCACATTCTATGCATTTAAAGGGTTTTTCTCCTGTGTGGACCCGATTATGAATAATAAGGTCACCACTCTGCCTGAAGGTCTTCCCACATTCTATGCATTTATAGGGTTTCTCTCCTGTATGGATCCTTTCATGAGAATTAAGAGAAGTCTTGTTAGTGAAGCTCTTTCCACACTCCAGGCATCTATAGGGTTTCTCTCCCGTGTGGAACCTTTTATGGAGGATCAGGTAACTGCTGTTTTTGTAGCTCTTCCCACACTCCAGGCATTTGTAGGGTTTTTCTCCTGTGTGGATCCGTTTATGACAAGTAAGAGCACAATTTACAGTGAAGCTCTTTCCACACTCTGTGCATTTATAGGGTTTTTCTCCTGTGTGGATCCGTTTATGACAAATAAGCGCACTGCTTCCCCTGAAGCTCTTTCCACACTCCGTACATTTATACGGTTTTTCTCCTGTGTGGATCCGTTTATGAGAAGTAAGAGCACTCTTTACACTGAAGCTCTTTCCACAATCCACACATTTATAAGGTTTCTCCCTTGAGTGGATCCTTCTATGGCACATCAAGACACGACTACTTTTGAAACTCTTCCCACATTTTATGCATTTGTAGGGTTTTTCTCCAGTATGTCTCCTTTTATGGGAAGTAAGGGAATTCTTCCTGCTGAACCTTTGTCCACAATCCACACATATATGGATCTTTTTATTAGGAGTTAAATTACCTCTTCTTCCAACGCTTTTTCCACACTCCACACTGTTGTAGGGCTTCTCCCTTGCCTGTTTCATTTTATGTGATGTAAGATTATTACTGCTGGAGCTTTTTCCAGTTTTGCAGTGGTTACTAACTTTGGGGTTTGCTTTGGATCTTTTTCTACTTTGACATTTCCCCATATTTGCTTTGGAATCACGTTGGGTCAGGAAACGATCCATTTCTAAACTTTCAAGAATAGATCTTTCTCTCTGACTGTGCTTCTTTTCAGGTTTCCTCCTTCCCCGCTTATTCGTAGATGTCTCCCCAGGAATTTCAGTTTTGATTATTTGCAATGGCAATAAATCTGGCTCTCGGGTATTTTCCTTCTTCTGCACATCAAATGCTTGTTGGGGGAAGAAAAATAAATTAGAATAATCTACATCCTCCACTTTGGTGTCCCTATGCTTAGATTTATCTACTACTGGACATGCGGAGAAAGCAACAAGGGAAATGACAGCATGGATATTAGTTTTTAACTTAAAAAACTGTCATGGCTGCTCATCTAACCCTTATTCTTGGCAGTTAAAAATTTAAACCAAAAACAAGTTTTGACATCAGGATGTGGCATACAAGTTGTCTCAACTATGTCCCACCCTACTTCCACTCAATAAGACTATATATGTCATTGCAACCCAAAGCAAGACAAAATTTGTTGCTGAGTAGGAAAATTGCAGCAGGCAAAAACATCCCCTCTCTGATCATCTTCACAAAAACTCTGCAGTAATGACCCAGGGCCCCAGGATGACCACAAGACTGAATGTCAACCCTTCTTAGTCACCACACTGATCTCTTTCTGTTAAATGAAACTGTGCTATTTAGAAGACCATGAAGGGGAACTGGAATTAATGTAAGAGGAAAAAAGAAGAGATGAAATCATTTTTAACAAAGTACGTATAGAGGAACCCTTACCTAAAGAGGCCACCATCCTAGACATTTCCAACATGACTTCTTGATACAGGGCTTTCTGGCTGGGATCAAGCAGCAACCACTCTTCACTGTTGAAATGGATGGCTACCTCCCCAAAAGATATAGGACCCTAAAGAAGGAAGAATCCCTGTGAGAAGACTCAACAGAATTTGCAAGATCTTCAATATGAAAATCCCAAAAGCAGAAATGTCTATGGAGATTCACAGTCATTCATTGTCACTGTTGTCCTAAAGGTGCTTTTAACTGGACTTGCTGCTTTTTCTTTGAAGATGTTTTGCTTCTCATCCAAAAAGTTTTTTCAACAACCAGAAAGTCTAATTGCCTCTTGAAAAAAAAGCACCTTTGAGACTAAAAGCCAAAGTAAAAATCCTTGATTGGACATTTCCTTAGAGGGACTCAACACCTTATATGATCAAAAGGGCAGAATTCACAGCTTACTGCTGACAGCCAATTAGGGCATGTTTTATCATCTTGACTGACTCTGCTGACCTTCAATATCGTCAACCTGTCTTGATGAAGTGGCCTAGCATCCCTTAAACACACCATCTACCAGTGGCCCCGACATTTCATGATATTTGCAAGAGATTCTGTGGGATTTCTGTCTGACATAGTAACCAAATGGGATTAGTTGTTTTTTAAAGGGTCAACCCTGCAGAAAACAATGGGCAAAAAACTTTGGCAATACTATAGATTTAGACAAATGGCAAAAACTTTGGGAAAGAAATTCTAAGTTGACAATGGCAACTACATATAAGGAAAATTTATACAAAATGTTTTATAGGTGGTATCTACCACCAGCAAGATTAGCAACGAAGATTAAAAGCATGTCCACCCGATGTTGGAAATGTTACCAGACACGGGGGATGTATAATCATATGTAGTGGACATGTGTAAAAGTAAAGAAATATTGGACAAAACTACATACACGTTTGGACTTAAACCAACACATGATTTTAAGCCAGAAATACTTTTGCTAGGAATAATACCTGAAAAGTATGACAAAGGGAACATATATTTAATATTAAATGTCTTGAATTAGCAAGAATTGTATTTGCACAGTACTGGAAACATGAGGAAACTCCTATGAATGAATGATATATTATTCCCCATAGCAAGAAGCTAAGATGAAAATGATTCTTTTATCCAAATAAGAGATATTTAATTTTGTCTCTAGCTTGAAATGGCTTCCTACTGCTCCCCCCATATAAGGTGCAAATATCTTCCTTCCTACCTGAGTCAGGAATCCAGCAGCTCTTTCAGCTTCACCAATAGGAGGAGATGATTCAGTGAACAACGATGACTCCATTTTGTCCGCTGGGAAGGAGAGAGACAGGGTGGAAACAGGAAAAGGTTTAACTTCATCTTTTCTAGCTTGAAGGCACAAATTAAGATTCTTCTTGTCCTGCCCAGGAAACCTCCATTTTTGCCTCTTCTACACATTGCCTTTCATAGGCTCCACCATGGGAGCCAAGAATAAAAGGGGAAGGCCAAACCCGCCACATTCTGAAGAACTAACCTCAGTTAGATTGTTCTCCTAACCTAACAACACACGGAAGTATATACTCTTGGCAACCACAGCATTTCCTCAATCGTTGTAAATTCTCCCACCCCCACTCTCTGCAGTTTGAAACCAGAGAAATTAGTGATATTCTAGCAACCCAGGAAACATGCCTACAAGGACAGGTGGTGTTGGAAATGGCCCAGCAGGGATCTGTGTGGGAATTTAGTCAAAACTATCTCTTAAGGCAAGCCAGAAATAAAGAGAAATCTTTCAGGATGGAGGAAGAGGCAGAATGCATCAAGGTATTCCCTACTAGAGTCGGTTTTCTGCTAAAGGCAAACAAGCTTGCTCTGAAGGGAGGGAATTCCTTTCTGTGCCTTAAGTCTTCTAATTTGAAGAGGGAGTTCTATCTTTCTTTTTGGGTCACCTTCTACTAAATCCAACGACTAAGACAAGAGAAGACACAGAGAATTAAGGATAGCTAGAATCTTTCCAAAAAACCTCCAACCCAGTGGAACAGTCTCCCCTTACCTAGTGAAGTATCCTGATCTTGATTTTTATTCTTGGGGATCCCTCTGAAAGACAGATCAGGAGAAAGATTTGTGCGATCCACCCAATTACTCTCCATCCATGAAGGGACCCTAGAATCTGAAATATAAGCAAAGAAGAGTAGTTAAGAGGACAGTGTTGAGTAATTCCCCGTTAGGAGAATGAGCGCATACAGGGAGACGTATTTGAGAGTAGTGTTTGAATAATACACATACAGCACACAGATACACTGTACAGTAAATGTAGCTTTTTACTTCCAGAAACGTTAAGCAAAGTCCAAAATAAGCAGTCCAAAAGTCATTCACAGGTAAATCAGTAAGTTTTTCAATCCAGGGATAATTGAAATATCAAATTGCAGTGTCAAAAACAGTTCAGTATCAGACTTATATCAAATCCAGTAATATCAGTTAATTAGGAAAAATGGAGGAACAGCAATACTTTCCAACAGAAGTAAACAAAGATACTCACTCAGACACACTCTCTTCTGAGACTAAGACTAAGACAAACCAGGTTTCTGGTTCCATCTTATGGCCGTTTGACAAAACCACACCTAATTAGTTTTGCATTTTCTTAAAGATACAGTTTTAAAATGCTTATCCTGGTTTATATATTTCTAACCCAAATAGCTGTTAGGTGACTCATATTCCTAACAGACAGGACAAAAGAGGACCTGGATGTTATTTTCTGCACACAAAACCCTTGTCTCCATCAGTGACAATGGCCGAGACCAATGGGAGAATAGCTCCAAGTGAGAAACTCTTTGGAGGGAAGCAAGAACAATTTTGCTAATGAGGTTCCCTAAAATATCTACTCGCATTATTCATCTGCAAAATTCCAGCAGGGAGAAATAGAAGAATTCAAGCCTGTCAAGATCCCTCCGTATCGTAAAGACGCTTCTCTGACCTGGGGCCCTTCCTGCTTCTTCTTCTCCTGCCAGGCTCAGAAGGGATCTTCCAGCCACTGGCGTCCGCGATGGCTCTGCTGCCTCCCCAAATATCCTCGCAGCCCCGGAACCGGAATCTGAAAGAGATGTGAGCAGGTGGCTCCTTTAAACTTACTTCTCTCCTCTCCCCTGCCCCATTCTTGGATCTTCCCCCATGCACAGTCAAGAGTAACTATGGGGCGGATTTCTCGGACCCTCCAAGGCTCCGAATCTCGTTCCCTGTCCTGGGAAGGATTTGAGTGGCGGGACCCCTCCCCTCCTCTTGCCCCACCCACCACTAGATTCCCAGGGAGCAACTCGCAGCCGGACTCACCCGAAAACGCAGTCGGAGTGGAGCATGCGCAGTGGGCTAAGGCAGGTAGCGGAGAGTGCGCCCCCTGGTGGCCCCTGGGGTGAAATCGCGGCCGTGGGAGCGACTTTGGAGGCAATGATGGGCAGCGTCTGCCCGGAGCTGCATCTGCTCTGGAGAGGGAGCTCTGCAAGCGATCACCAGGAGAATCCAGGCGGGGATTATGGGCCTCCCAGTTCGTGTGGTGTGTGTCTGTCTATCTCTCTCTCTCTCTCTCTCTCTCTCTAAATGGATGGAAGCTGAACAAGGAGAGATTGGAAATAAGGAGAAATTTTCTGACAGTGAGATCAACCAACCCATGGAACAGAAGTTGCCCTCGGGAAGTTATGGGAGCGCCATCACTTGAGACTTTCAAGAAGAGATTGGACTGCCATTTGTCAGAAATGGTGTAGGGTCTCCAGCCTAGGTGAGGGGAGGGGGTTGGACTAGATGACCTATAAGGTCCCTTCCAACTCTGATTATTTGTTGTCTGTCTGTCTCTGTTTCTCTCTGTCTCTCTGTCTCTCTCTCTCTCTTTCTCACACACACTCAAAGCGAGAGAAGGAGGGAGGGGAGAGAAAGACTCACACCATCAAAGCTTAAAACAGACCCGGGGAAAGTGAAAGCGTTCCCAGGAAAGAAAAGTGACTTTCCCTTCTGAGAGCTGAAGCCACAGGGGGTCCTTTCTCTTCCCCGGAGACCCAACGAAGGTCCACGGGACCCAAGAAACTCTGAGCGAATCTCCTTTCTGGCTGCCCCCCAGCAAAGGGAACAAAGCCAAAAGAGCCCCCCACCACCCACACCCCCACAGAGTCCTACGTGGCTTGGGGTAGATTTTCACAGGAAAGAAGCAAACTATGTATGGAATTCTTAACAACTGTGCAATTAAGGATCGTGAGAAAAGTGGGGAGGGGAAAATGACAGCCACTCCCCTAGAAGACGGAAATAAGCCTTTAAAACATCCTCATCACCTGAGGTTTCTCAGGCGTCCAACTTCCCAGGAGGTCAGGGAAACGGGCTCCCCGTGAAGCAC